TCTGCCAACATTAGAGTGCAGATATATAATGATAGAACGAGAAAACCAATCAGCTAATGTACCCAGAATGAAGTTTGAAAAAAATAAAAAAATTAAGAGCGGTGCAGTAAACGTCAGTATTTTACAAAATTATATTTTAATTTTAAAAAAGTAAGGAAAATGAAATGTATGTTATACTATTTACTTAAAGATGAGCCGTATTAGGGGAAACTGGCAGACGCTACATGCCGGCTAAGGTGCTGGAAAGGAAGGCACGCATCCTCACTGTATATCTTTTAAGAGTGATTACGGTGATCGACTCAAGTGTAACTTATATGTACATCTCTTGCTGTTTATTCAAATCTGCCGATTACCACAAAGCTTGCACCAATCGCTTCCAGGGATTTTTGTTTTAATTTATTCAAAATTTTTTATTTAAACCGCTTCTGGAGTAACTTGACAGTTGTTTGTTCGTAGTAGCAAACATTTATTTGATCCCATTGGGAAAATAGCTAAGCACCTTACCAGGTTAGCCATGTTTTCTTTCAGTTTTTAGTAACAAAATTATCATCATGACCAACGTCATCTACTAGTAAAGCACAAAATGAACACCTCCGCTGCCTGAATATCATTGAAAAATATTAATGTTGGTAAATTCGGTGCCCACTTGAGGAAGCCTTACCCAGTTGCAAAATAACGTACCCCCGAAGTTATTTCCAAGCGCCGAACTACTCCGAGCGACTGCTCAACGTTCTACTTAACTGAGTATATGAAGCGGCTCAGAAGTATGTCTGATACCAAATGTACATTCTAAATTTCTACTTACATAAGGCGGCCACGCCTTTGTTAAAGTAAGGGAGATTCGGCAGGCAAGTGGTAAGGACCGCCGGGTGAAGGGCAATACCTTACCAGCAACTTACACTTCACCCGGCGGTCCTTACCACTTCACTGACGAATCTCCCTTACTTTAACAAAGGCATGCATACTTCGCATAACTTCGCACAACTTCGCATAAACTTCAAACTGTAATTTCGTATGTACTTGCTATGTATTTTCTATGTATTCCATTGCCCAGAATTTAGCAGAACTTTTAAAAACTTAGCGATCTGTTGAGTTTAGATTTCGCTTCACATTTTCTTAAGTTACATTTTTATGCACTGGTACAAATGGTTGTGCGAAGTTATGCAAAGTATGCATAATCAGACCTTTACAAAGCAAGTTACGTATAATGCAGAGCAGTCGCTCGGAGTAGTTCGGCGCTTGGAAATAACTTCAGCTGTAGGTAATGCGTCATAGGAGGTGTTCATTTTGTGCTTTACTAGTAGATGGCATTGGTCATGATGAAAATTTTGTTGCTAAAAACTGAAAGAAAACACGGCTTACCTCGTAAGGTGCTTAGGTACCTATCAGGGTTGTTGCGAATATTATTCCGAAATAAAAGTCCTTTCCGGATAATAAACAAACCGCATATCCAAATTAAAACAAGTAAGAAAGTCTAAGTTCGGGCGGAGCCGAACATTAAATACCCGGCGCAAGTATTAAATATATGTTTTCCACCTTTCCGAAAGCTACCGCTACATGATAAGCCGGGGTGTATACATTTTAAGTAAATTAGCGTCCTTAAATTTCGAAATATTGCAGTTTCAAGCATATCTGAAATTTACCGTTATATGAAAAGCGGCCTCAATTTTGTTCCGATTTCAACAATTTTCAACGGTTTGCTTTTATGTGGCAACCATACCGAGCTTGGTACAAATTGCTAGAACGGTTAGCGAGATACATATATGTGATCACAAGTGGGCGGTGCTACGCCCATTTTCCAAAATTTTGTCATAAACGTATTTCTTGGTAAAGAATTGTTGCAATCATCAATTTTGAATAAATTAGCTTCAATATTTACTGATTTATCGAAGATTTTGTATTTCTCGAAATTACCGTTATATGGGATGTGGACGTGGTTATTGTCCGATTTTAGAAATTTTCGGCCAGTTGGTATGCTGTACCAGGACCAACAACTGTGCCAAGTTTGGAAGAAATTGGTGTAGCGGTTACCAAGATATACACATGTAACCATAAGTGGGCGTGGCTACGCCCATTTGCCAAAATTTTGTAATATTCTTATTTTTCGTCTAAAACTCATTGCAAATATAAATTTTGAGTGAATTATCTTCAGTAGTTACTAAAATATCGCAGTTTTCGTTTTTCTGAAAATTACCGTTATATGGGAGGTAGGCGTGGTTATTATCCGATTTCGCCCATTTTCAATACCATCCGTCCCACGCCCAAAAGAAGTTCACGTACCAAGTTTCGTTAAGATATCTCAATTTTTACTCGTGTGCACAGACGGACGGACGGACGGACGGACGGACGGACGGACAGACAGTCACCGCTTAATCGATTTCTCTTTTCATTCTGATCATTTATGTATACATTTGTCTATATCTATCTCGATTCGTTTTGCCTGTTACAAACAACCGTTATGTGAACAAAGTTATAATACCCTTGTGCACAAGTGCGCTCGGGTATAAAAATTTGGTATCATATGAAAGAGGACTGAAATAGCTTGTAAACAGAAATAATGAACGACCTCTTCTTATTTTTTTTTTTGTAATTTAATACTAAAGAAATTCATATACATGACACAAGGTTTGTTCTATGGCAATTAATTAACATTTTTTATTGAAATATTTTTCAATATGCGGCTGTTTTAAGTAGCAAGCAACAGTTTTTCCAATTTCCAAATGTTACAATTATCCGGCATATAATGTCTTAAATAAAATGAATTACCGTCCAATGAAATCAAAAAGTTTCAGAAAAACTACCCTGCGCTGACCAAATAAGCAAAAAATTGCTGTTTTTTTATTTTTTCCTTTTAAATATTGTATATTTACTTGTATTTTCGTGATTTTCCAACTGAGACACCATGGGTAGATTGTTTAGATAACAAATGCAACGTCGGGCAAAAAGAGGGCGCCAAATGTATAACTTGCCAGGGCGCTCGCACGGTTAAGGTCGACATTGTATGTAACGCCGTGTAAACTCAGGAAAGGGAATGGAAACGCATAGTTTGCGTGTTGCAAGCTTTAAGCTCGGAAATTTATGCGCCTCTGTGATATGTTCATATTGAAACATACTTACGAACATGTAAGCGTGAGTGACTTGCACAGAAGTAAGTAATTGCGTCAGGCAATAGCCAATACCCTACACATTTCTATGTATATACATATCTATGTTTATACAAAGTTATGAGTTGGAAACCGTGGTCGCCCTCTATTTGCATTTTTGTCAGAAATAATGGCAGGGGTAGCAGGAAAAGTAGTTATTTATAACGCGACCAATGTCAAGCTCAAGTTCAAGGAATTATTTTTTTGAGTAAGATTATACATACATACATACATACACATATGTATATTAGACTTCAGAAAAAATGTAAAATGCTTCGTTGCTTCATCTGAAGCACATGATCTTTAGCTTCCTTTATAGCTAAAATCCATCACCTGAAGAATTTAAAATTACTCGATCTTCAATCCGTGTGCACCCGAAATCCTTCAGTTTTTGATGATTTTTAAGGTTGTACATATATGTTTTTGAGGTGGCGGAACTCGATGGGGAAGTGGTTTTCTCTACTAGGAACATATATTTTGAGATGGGTATTACAAAAAAATCTCTAATAAAATGAGACAAATCCGAAAACTGCCCATTGATTATTTTTTAAATTTAGGTTCATTACTTCCCGATATATCGGTAAGTCACGGAACCTGTATCTGGATGCGTGGCGATTATCTACATTTCAAAAACGTACCGATATAAATTTTCGGCCTATGTCGATATTCCATGTGCATACCCTCAAATCATAGTACTTTATACGTTTGCCGTGGTCGTCATCAAGAGAAGGGGGTCTCATTCGAGGTTCAATTGAACTTTAGCTCGCTCTCAAACAGCTGTCGCTAACTAGAGGATACGTGGATATAAATATCCGGAGGTAGTGAGCTGCGATTGAACCGTACGTGTAAGAATCACTTTCAACACTTAAGTGGACATCTGCGCACGGAACCATCCCCCTAATACATATGTGCCTAAAAAAGGAAGCGCAATAAATTTTTTCTAGTCAGTCTAATACATATGTATGCATGTAGGATGGTCCAAAAATACACAGGAAAATCAACTTATAGAATTTTTCCGCTGCCATGCCCCAACAGCCGGATTCCAACATTCGATATCGCTAATTTTGATCGCCAAAAATCTCCAAACATGCAACATCGAGTTACATACCCCTCATATTGCCAAATTTGGCTTATTACACATTGCATCTGTTATTTTTCCTTGTTGTATACGTTTAGGGAGCCTAAACTGATTTTCGTTTAGAGAAATTTGGCGACGAAATATGGTGTAGCGATTGTCATAATTCCTTTACAGGACTGAAGAATATCGTTTAATTTGAAATCGGTTAATATTTAGCCGTATCATCGGAGGTCTGAAGTTTTCGTGTATTTTTTATGGTAAAAAAACCTTTTTTCGTAGAATTGCTATAAAATCTATAGTAAAAATATTTTTTGAAAGAATACAAGTATGTATATCCCTTCAGAAACCTTTATACTTTAAAATGATAATGCATATTTAACTTTAAAATTTTACTAGCTTTTACACAACAATTTGTCATTTAATCATATTCTCAATTGTATTGCCCTTTGTAAACGTAATATAAGAGATGAGATTATCGTTCGTATCGAAAATACTCAAAATTTTATGTTTTGAAGATATTTAAAGATTTTATAGTAATTCTTCAAAAAAAAAAAAATAGTTTTCTGGCGGCATATATTATTATTAAATATTAACCGATTACCAGATAAAAAATACGGGTCTCCTTATTTTCGATATTCTTCAGTTCTGGGAGATGGCTGAAAAAGAACTTTGAACCACCCTAATGTACATGTGTAAGTCTAGTTCATCTCACCTCTTGTTATGTCAATCCCTAGAAATGCGAAATTCATTTCCTCGGTTCGTTTGTTCTGATTTTTCAGAATTGGTAGCGCAGATACGATGGAAATAGTGGCTTCTAAGTCCAGTGGCAGTGAACCTTCAACGCCGGAGGACAACGTAAATGTGGTGGTCAGAGTTCGGCCGTTGAACGAGAAGGAAAAGAGGGATAGACATGGCATGATTCTACAGTTTCCTGGAAATGGACAAATAATAGTAAGTTTACGTATACACCACTATGTACTTACATCCCAGCCAGCAAAATATCCGGAAACGAATCCGAAAATGGAAACAATTTCGTATAAAAACCTGATGTTTCATCCGTTTTCCGATTCCGTTTTCGGACGTTTTTCAGATCAATTCTCCCACTAAAGTGTTCATCCGAAACGTATGTGCAGAAAACTATCGAAAATGGCTGTAAAACGGGTGCGCTTTCGGCTGTTTTCCTGAAATTTGTTTGATTCAATTTTTCGTAGAAAACGATTTCATTATGAACTTCACAGAAACTTTTTCATAGATACAGGAAACCAAACAAAATACAAATTTAAGATTCAGCAATTATTTCAATTTGAATAACTAATTTTAATGTGTTGCTTCTGACGGAATTCGAACCTGGAACCTCCTGAAAGCTAACAAATAGTAACACACTTCTCTGCACACTCAGCTACTGGCGAATACGTATACATGTTTTCAAATGCTCAGTTTGAACAAATATTTTAAAATTATTGTTTTGAAATAAGATGATGACATTTTTCGGATACGAAAAATGAACAAATATGAAAATCGTTTTCTGAACATTTCCGGAAACGAAAAATGTACGAAAACTGCACTTTCGGCAAAAAGTACGTTTCTCTGCTAGCTGGGATACTGTATATTACATATCGTCGTTTAAAGTACAAAACCGCGTATCGTCATTCTGCAAAACCGCGTAACTGACTTTGGCTGCCAAAAATTGGATTTGCTCACACAAGCTCAATCCTTATCCATTCGTCCTGAAATATAGTAGCCAGAAATGCGATTGCTTTATAAAAAAGAGAACCATTTTGAAATATGAGTGTTTGTACGCTCTAGAAAATAATGTCTACAACTTCACATACGCGGTTTTGCATTTTGCTGATACGCGGTTTTGCATTTTGTTGATACGCGGTTTTGCACTTTAAACGACGATATGTATGTACATTAGAGTGGCCCAAAAGAATAAAGTCGGAGTTTTAATACCGGCACACCCTAGGATTGATCTATATCGAAAAAAATATACCCCTATTTTTTATTTTGAAATCAAAATATATTTAGGGAGTGCTCAAAACGCTCAAAATTTTCCATGTATTTTATATGGAGAAAAAAACATCTTTTCGTAGAAATGGTGTAGAATTCTTGAAAATAAATATTTTTTGATCCGAAAACTTTATTTATCTTCAGGAGTTTCCCAGTAATAATACTCAATTGTTTCTTTAACAATTTTTTCATGGTAACTATATTTTATAGGTCATCCAAAGGCCTTAGAGAATGCAATTGGGGACCAATAAAAAATCTTTAATCATAAAAAATGGTCAAATAAACAATTGGATATTAATACTGGCAGTCTCCTGAAGAGAACCACAGTTTTCCGGTCGATAAATATTGATTTTCAAGTATTTTATACAATTTCTACGAAAAATTGTTTTTTCTCCATATAAAATACACTGAAAACTTTGAGCGCTTTGAGCACTCCGTAAATATTTTTTGATTTCAAAATAAAAAAATATGGGTATATTTTTTTCGGTATATAACAATCGTAGGGGATGGCGGCATTAAAAATCCGACCTTATTTTTTTTACATACATTTTTGGACCACTTTAATGTACATATGTATGCATGCATTTATATAACTTCTACTTCGTGTGGCAGTTTCTTTATGCACATTGATTTATTTCCACTTTCTATTTATGTATATATGTAGATCGAAAGCAGTGAGGGCAGCAACAGAAGATCGCGAAATCAAGAAAACGTGCACGTCTTTACTTATAATGTGGTGTTTGAACCTGGAGCAACTCAAGAAGATATTTTGGATTATTCAGGCATCAAACGTATAATTGAAATGGCAATCGAAGGGTTTAGTTGCACTGCATTTTGTTATGGACAAACCGGTTCGGGAAAAACACATACGCTAACCGGTCCACCCGATCTGGTAAGATTCTAGACCTTGTACATTGATAAATAGATTAGAGGCTAATCCGGCGAAACTTCAGTTCATAAATGGGATGATATGCATTCATTTATGAAAGCTTTAACGCGTCTTCTTTTTGACAAATTTTGAATATTTAAATGCAAATATTAACTGATATAGTATAGACATTTTGTAGATAGTTCCTAATAATTATATCAACATAATAAAAGCATGTTTTGGTATATGCACTTTACCAACTCCTTTCCGCCATTATTTACTATTATTTACTAGATATACTGACAAATTATCATTTCCTACAGCTTTACTATTTTGAGACTTGCTATTGCTATTCGAATTCCGTTATGCCAAAAGAACGTAACATTAATTTCGCCATAATTTATTACTGGATAAAAAATGTGGGTAAAGAATTTGCGTGGAAGGCAGGACACCTGAGGGTCAACTCCCGTTCTGCGTTATCGTGAAGTGATAAAAATAACACTTTCACACCGTATTTATTTCGGTGTTAATTTTATACTTTTCACTTCATTTCACGATAACGCAGAACGGGAATTAACCCTCTGACAACCATAACGAATCTTATAACTTAGAGGACAACCCTGTGTTTTCGTGACGCTGCATACTAACTGCAATTGCTTAGTTGCGTAAACTGCAGAATTTTAGGCAATATTTCCGATCATGAGAAATGAACACTTGTAATGAAAAAATCCATACGTGAAAGAATGCTAACGAGAACAGAGAGGGTACATAACCAATCAAATTCCAGTATTCTATAGGTAGATTAGGTAAATTTTCTTTGAATTTCTCAACAGCAATACGAAAACTCCCCGTGAAATTGGCCCCCGAACTTTCTAAAAAACGGGAAATTTTTTAGAGTGTTGGGTAGATTTTAAGTGGTTCTAGAGTCCCTGGCTAGAGATTGCAATAGTTTCGGAAAATTTCGGACAGAAATAGAAAAAAGACGTTTTGGGGTGCCATTTATTCCTGTACAGATATATCACCAAAAAATACTGAAAATTCGCTTCAGATAATACGCTATTTAAAGTACATGTATGCAAGTTTTACGTACAGTATGTAATAAATAAATCTCTCTTTAAAGTTTCATAAATTGCACATTATTTACTTAAAATTAGCAAATAATCCAATAATTTTTTTTAATTAACGGTACTCCTAAATTTTTATATGAGAATTGAAGTCGGTTGTGTTTTTTGCTTAAAAATTATTTGTTTAACGAAAAGTTCTATTAACACAACTTTCAAAAGAAATAAAAAAAATTTTAAAAATAATTTTAATAAAAATAACTTAATTAAATCTCAAGTAGTACACTGGTGTATAACTTGGTGTAAATTTACGAATTTTTGGTATACAACTGATTTATTGTACCAAAATCCACAAATTTACACCAAGTTATACACCAGGGTGTTACTGGAGTTCCAAGAAATTAGTATACTTTTATGTTCATTTTCCTCTTCATGAAATTATTTTCAAAGAAAAATGCATTCCATCGTTCTTTTTTTTTAAGAACGACAAAATCTTTGGCTGGCTTCCAAAACGTAACCATGATACAAAAAAAAGAAGGTAGTTTCACTTTATTTTTTTTGACATAAACTGTGCTTACTGACATTTCTACTTTTCGTAAATTGTTGAACTAGCACTACCACCTAATCAAATAATTATTTTGGAATTTTTAATATTTTTTTAAGGAATTTTTATTTTATTTAAAAAGTAAGTTGTAACATACGAGGTTAATATACTTACATGATTGTTCGTATTAAAAGAGCTGCGTATTGATTTAAATTGCTATAAATGTAAGGCACACCAAAAATGTAGCATTATCTTTTACATGATATATTATATGCAGTTGGTCCTTTAAGAAACTAAGTAGGAAGTTGCTTTATTTCGCGCGTTTCGCTCTAATTGGGCGCATCTGTTCCTCCGGTTGAAATCTTTCGCGGAAAAGTGCCCGGATCAAACAAACGATACTTTTGGTAACGCATTTCTAGTAACCATGCACGCGGATATCCACTTTTCCCGCATATGTGGTTCCGCCGGGAGTCGAAAAAACTGTATGTTAGTTTTGTCGCAATTTCTTCTGTTATTTTTACAGCTACTAAATATGCAGCTCATCTTGCTAAAAAACAATAAAAAAAATTAACAACAGTAAATGCATATTTTATGTGACTACAATGTAATGTTTCAATTACCTTCCGTTTTATACTCACTATCGCTAAAGGCATTAATTTCTTTTAAATAATTATATTTTTTTTTTTGAGGTAGGTAATCAATCACTTTTTTACTTTTGTCAAAGAATATGGTAGCTCGATTTCAAAAGAAAATGCCAAAAGCACAGTTTACGTCAAATGGGAGCAATGGCGGCTAAGAAAAAGTGAAACTACCTTTAAATATTGTATCATGGTGCCAACATTATTGATGCTTGCATTAATAAATCATTCTGGTTTGCTGTAGACTTCGACAGATCCGTCGCCTTCCTTCATTTACTGCGATCAGACATGTCCAAAAACAGCATTCGAGAACGTTCACAGGTTGATGAAGGTTAAGCCACTTGTTTCAGGTTTTTTTTGTTTCCTATGTCCACTCTGCCAAAATTTTATTTGATCATATTTTTTTATTTTCACTTTTATTTCAACATAGATTTTTTTAAAGAAAAATACTGATAAAAATAAAATATTTCACACAAACAGTGTTGAAATTAGAAATTCCTGCCTGTATTTTGTTTGTAAGTCAAATATTAGTGGCATTGTGCTACTATGATAGCACGGCCGAGTAATCTAGTCAACATATGTATGTGCAGTAGTCGAAAAAATTATATTAAAATTTTTACAAGTTTTTAAATACTATTTTCGTTGTTATTTAATTTGGTTAGCTTTTTATAGTTCATTCTTTACCAACATCCGTATAAATACATACAAGTTTAAAGGCAGTGTCACACGATTAGGAATTTGCCGATATTCGGTGCAAATCGTATCCCAATTGTGTGATTACCCAAATATTATTCTTTATCCCAATCACAAAAAATAATTTTTTGAAATTTTTCAATACCAGATTGCTGTATTGTACCAAGCTTTTAAATACAAAAAAAAATCCAATTTTTTTATTTTGTACCAATAGACCAATATAAAAATGCACAAATCTGTACAAATGTACCAATCGAGTGACACTGCCTTAAAAATTCCTGCAATTAAAAAAAAATCAACGAATTGTAAAAAATTCGATTTTTTAATTAGATTCTTAGTATCGGCTACATCATTGAATTCTAGTAGAATAAAGTACAAGTTTCAAATGGCTTGATTTTTTAGAATTTTTAAAAGAGCTCGAAATTTGTACGAAAGTTTGTTGAATTTTTTGATATTGCACAAAGTTGGCAACTTGGATTTGCATGGGTGTTGTCAAAAAAAACAATAACCAAAATTAAATAACAACAAAAATAATACGTTAAAAATTGGCAAAAAGAACAGCTACAACCTACAAACATATCAAGCTTGATGTTGATAGAAAGATAGAGATTTTTTGTTAACACGCAGATCCCATAAGATAGATCGTGTCAGCTGACACGTTCTCCGTTTTTACGTCCGTGGGCAACTGCGCTTTAACTCAATTTCCAAGCACGCACGCAGCCACGCAAGGGCCCTTAGCTTTCGTTGCGTTTCAGACCAACTTTATTTATGTATATATGCCAACCACGTGGCAACGCCGTTGTTTGTTCCTTAAAATTGTTGTTGCATTTATGTAGTTGTTTGTTTACGTTTTGTGTCGGTAAAAACATGGTTGCACTAAACAAACATATGCAAAAACACGTTCAAGCAACAAGCAATAGTGCTGCAACTTTTTTGGCATACTTAAATAAGTTTCGTTCCAGCAGTACGATTTGCAGGTTTTGCAGGATTTAGTCCGCAAAGTGTTCCAGTCGACAAATTTCCTGTAACTGAGAGCAGTTTCGTGAGAATAAACTATGCTTACTCTCAGTTAGAAGTTTCAGGATTTAGTCCGAAGTGTTTCTTCCTGCAAATTCATGAAAACTGTCAAATGAAGAGCAGTGTTGCAACAAGTTAAAGAGCTGATGCAATTTATAGGAAATATTTCTAGCAGAATAGAAGGCAATTGCACCAAAATAACGAAATCTTTTGAGAAGTAAAATGTTGTGTGTAGGAATTTTTATCTGAATAAATAATTCTGTAAACAAACATCTGACATTTATATACTTGCAGGAAAAATGGTTTTTTGCGTTCCAGCAGTTTTTCTCAGTTCTTCTCTCTTGTGAGGGATATTTTGCTTTTTGACAGTTCAACATGTTTAAGTCCAAAAATCGCTGGAACGCACCTATAAATTGAATTTGGCCCTTAGCAGGGTAGCCAATTCATTTTTGAGAATTCCCTGATTTCAACAATGAAATTCCCCGATTTTGCCTGAAATTTTGTAAAATTCCTCACCTAGGACATCGTTTTCTTTACAAAAAAAAAACAAAATATTTTTAAATGTAATTCATCTATGTATTCATAAACAAACCATACATGGTTGAGGCGGAAATGCCTCTTAAATGTATGCGTTAATATTGATACTGAATTAAAGAAACGTGCTAAGCAACAGTTTAGGAATAAGACTTATGTATGTATGTACATCAGTGTCGGACAGCCCCCGTAGGTCCGCCACTGACTGACACGTAGTTTAACCCCCAAAACTCAGCCGCTGGATCCGCCACTGATGTACATGAATATATTAGGACTCATACAAGGAAGAAGGTAAAGTTGGATATGTAGAAAATATATAGGGATAAAGGCAAAGATTAAAATAAAGTAAAGAACCAAAACCTAAAGACAAAAGGCAAGGTAAATTTATATACTTAATATAGTAGTAAAGGTGTGGAAGAATATGTAGATGAAGCAAATAATGAACATATAGATCTGGATGAAAGTCAAGAAAATGATAAATTAAAAATTGACAACGTAAAAAAAGAAAAAAAAGAGAGTTGTTTTGTGTTGTGTTGTGTTGTGTTGTGTTGTGTTGTGTTGTGTTGTGTTGTGTTGTGTTGTGTTGTGTTGTGTTGTGTTGTGTTGTGTTGTGTTTTGTTGTATTGTGTTGTGTTGTGTTGTGTTGTGTTGTGTTGTGTTGTGTTGTGTTGTGTTGTATTGTTTTGCATTGGCTTCTATTGTGATGTGTTGTGTTGCTTGGGTTGTTTTGTGTTGCGCTGTGGTGTTTTGTTTTGTGTTGTGGTGTGCGGTGTTGTATTGTGTTCTATTGTTTAGTATTGTATTGTGTTGTGTCGTATTGTTTTGTATTATGTTGTATTGTGTTTATTGTATGGTTTTATATTGTGTTGTGTTGTGTTATTTTGTTTTGCTTTGTGTTCTATTATTTTTTGTGTTGTATTGTGTTGTGTTGTTTTGTTTTGTGCTCTGTTCTGTAGTGTTTTATTGTTTTTTATTGCGTTGTATTCTGTTGTTTTGAGTTGTTTTGTGTTTTGTTGTTATGTTATGTCGCAGTTTTCGTATTTCTGGAAATTACCGTTATATGGGAAGTGGGCGTGGTTACAGTCCGATTTCGCCCGTTTTCAATACCAACCTACCTTGGCTTAATGGAAACTTGCATACCAAATTTCGTTGAGTTATCTCAATTTTTGCTCGAGTTATCGTGAACACGGATGGACGGACAGACAGACATGGCTATCTCGATTCGTTTTGACTGTTACAAACAACCGTTATGTGAACAAAATTAATATACCCTTGTGCACAAGTACGCTCGGGTATAAAAACAAAAACAAAGATGCGTAAAGATAAATGCAAAAATTAAGATCAAGGTGAATTTATATATTTTACTAATATAAGGGCGTTCGTGGGTAACCGCGCTCTAACACTTATTATTCCTCTTCCAGCGATAAGTGTCCGTGTCCAACAGTAACGGAAAAAGATATGCAAATAACCCTTTCTCACTGAGAGGAGCACACATCTACGAAACATAAACCACCTGTTCTGTTTTTTCTCTTAAATATTGACGGTTATTTTGGGACACTTTCAAAGTGGAGAGGGATATTTTCGACCTCTACTCTCAATTTAACTCAGCTCAGCTCAGCCCACCTCAATTCCCCTTAATTATAGTGGTTGAATTTCAACCGTTGGGCGAACACTAGTATCTTAAAAAAGGTAAGAAAAGGCAACATCAAATGTGTATATATTAGAGCTGTCAAACTATCGATAGTCCAGTCCATTGATGTTTTACGATAGTCTTAAGGGTGACTATCGATAGTATCGGCCCATTTCATATGTTTTTCTAAATCAATTTATTTTTCGTTGTCTTGCTTTTATAAATTTGTTTATTTTAGCGGCTCACGGTTGCATTTTAGAATCTAGAAATATTGCTAGAAATTCGTTCACCGTGCAAACAGTCAAAAAGCGATATCAGAAATTTTCCCTGCAATTCGCCTTTCGGAAATAAAAAACTTTCTTTCGAGAAACACTATATATGCAAGGTCTCACTGCTCATGAAACTGCTTTCTGAAATTTCTCAAATTGACAGTCTTTTGAAATATACTGCATTGCCACGTCTGACACGCTCTTAAGACGGCAATGTAACCTCTGCCATTTCCACGTTTAAAATAAAAAATGGCGCTTTTAGAAATAATGCCATGAACCAACTAACGAAATCACCAGCATGGCAACCGTGCATTTGTAATTGCATTTTAGGAAAAAAAATAATAGTTGATAACGTCATTTTTTTATCGGTTGTTTCATTTACACACATGGTTTCATTCCGTTTCATTCACATGACAGCGAAAAAATGACGTCACTGCAAAAAAAAATAATTTTTCTCGCCCTCCGTCCTGGGTGTTCTTTATTCGTTAGTTCAAGAAATAATGCTGCAAAGTTTTGTTCTCTTTGAACCAATACGTCATTTTTTAATCGGTTGTTTCATTCACACGCATGGTTTCATTCCATTTCATTCACATGACGGCGAAAAAATGACGTCACTGCAAAAAAAAATACTTTTTTTCGCAATCAGTCCTGGGGGTTCTTTCTTCGTTAGTTCATGAAATAATGCTGCAAAGTTTTGTTCTCTTTGAACCAATACGCGCAAATGTCAAAAGCGCTAGGAAAGAGAATATGCTACCGATGAAACGATAGTGGCGTTAGTGGTAAAACTATCGATAGTTATTTCATGTGACCAGACTATCGATACTATCGATAGTATCATCGATAGTTTGATAGCTCTAGTATATATGGAATCAGGGAAAGTTAAATCGTGGACATTCTTAATCGAATATAATCTATCTCTTTAGCAGAAAAAAGGCAATTTCCATAAAATACGTTCCCTGTTTATTATACTAGAATTGAACGAGCTATAAAACTGGTGTGACATTTCGACTTACACCTAATTCCTCACAAAAAAACTTCCCATGTAAACTGGTATTTCCCAAAAAAAAACAGTCCATTCCCTGATTTCCCACGTTAACTAAAATTCGACGCAAAAACTTATAAATAAAAATTATTTATAAGCTTTGGTAAAAATTGTTATCAAATACTCGAAAAAATATGAATTAGAATTTGTTTTATCTTGTAAGCATACTTGCTGATCCGTTGTTATATCCGGGGAATACTGTTTATAGAAACTGATTAGACTTTTCCTATTTCTTTCAGTTTGTCGGCAAGCCAAATTTAAATGATCCACGGCATGGTCTCATCTTCCGATCGTTCTTGTACCTCTTCCAGTTGATAAAAGATCGCAAGGATGTCAACTATGTGCTAAAGGCGTCTTTCCTTGAAATCTACAATGAACGTGTGAGTATTCCCTTCAAAGGATGGTCATGGAATCAATAAAATTTAAGCAAAATATTGATATACATAGGGCCAGTTTCTCAATGTCTGGTTAACACTATAGTTATAACTCCAGGTTAAACATCGTTAACGACCTTATCGACTTATGAAGTCGTTATGTTTAACCTGTAGTTAGTGTTAACCAGACATTGAAAAACCGGCCCATAGAGATATATATACACACATGCGCATGCGGCCGCTCCATATTAAACATACCAGCATACCAATTTTACGATTCGTACCAAAATCGAATCTACGACAGATTACAGCATAGGGGTGTTAATTTACTATTAAACTCCGGTTTGTTTACTTTAAAGGTGCTGACTATGGTTGCCATATGACGTTTTTCGTTTGTACCATACATTTCCTTTAAACATACCAAAATAAATTAAAATATAGAATGCTGAACTGTTTTTTGCTAACGTAGTCAGTTTTGGTAGGTTGATTGTTGAAATGAAAATTTTATGATTTTAAAGGTACATTTTTTGGGACCAATGAGCTTCTGGGGAGGAGCTTCTCTTATTTTTGAATGTGTCATCATGTGGTATCACAAATAATTTTAAGAAAAATAACTTATTTTAAAAAGGTTTCTCTTACCCCAAGAAATTCAATTGCCAAATTGGGAAAAGGTACCAAGCAGAAAATAAATTGTCTAATGAAACACCAGTGGCAACTGGGGATGTGATCAGCTGTTTCGAAGGTTGCAAGTTTTTGCAAATTTTGCGTTCTCGTACTTCTGTGGATATTTTGTTTCTTTGAGAGCGGATGCAGCTAAAATCTAAGAATTTTTGCTGCTGTATAATTTTTTCCGCTCAATACGAGTTAGTTAGAGTTTTAATATCACTTTGCATGGACCTTAAACTCATTTGAGGCCTATGGTTTCAAGGGAAATCGTTTTTAGAATTTTCCGGGGATTACGTTTCTACTATACCCGTTGAAGGAAAAAAATCGTCTCAGGCTAATGCATGATACAAAAAAGAAGGTAGTTCTATTTAATGACATTCGTTGTTGTTGTTAACCATTTGATTTTAATAAAATTAGGACATTTCATTAAATTCATGCTACTTGATCACGAGCAGTAATGTTTTTTTAAGCAGAACGTATAAAGAAAGTGATTAAAATTATACTTATGCTAATTGCTTATCGGAGAGCGGTCTGCACAAGCTGAATTCAAGTTTTTGCATACAGTTTGCATACAATTTTAAATTCGAAATTTCGAATACGCTAAGCACAAAGCTTAATTTTTTGCAAAATCTGACGAGAAATTTAAAAGTAAATTTAGACCAAATTACTGAACCCTATTAGTAGTATTCTTAAAACTTTTAAGCAGAACAAAAATAATTTTTCCCAATTTGTTTTTGTTTTGCATGTTAAGTTATGAGAACAATTTATTCACATGGAATTGACGATTATAACAAGTAATTTTTAGCAAAAAAAAACCGACTTCAACTCTCATATAAAAAAAAAATATATATATATATATATCTCATGATCCGCTGATCGGATCTTAACCAGATTAGATTAAAGGAACAAAAAACAAAAAAAAAACAAAAAAATATTCCGACGAACTGATAACCTCCTCCTTTTTTGGAAGTCGGTTAAAAAAATTTTATTTGTAAAGAACATTCTTTAGAATTAGATTTTCAAATCGCAAGATTGCATTCAAAATAAGAAAATTAAAAAATAACAACATAATGCTCTCGTGTTTTTTATTATAAAATAAAAAGAACGATTCCAATGAAGTCTCCTTTAACATTATACATTTTATATATTTTTAATGAAAAAAGGTGCGAACCACGTAAGTAAAAAAATTACCAAGCACTGATAACGATTTTTGATTTGAAATATTATTAAATTGATATAAATGTCCGATTTATTGCTTTAATATTATCAAGGTGGCAAGGCCGTTGAGAATACTCACAATTTATGAAACTTTAAAAAATTTTATTATCCGTCAAAAGTTGTTTATTGAAACTACCTTCTTCTTTGTATTATGAGCTAATGTACTTATCTATAAAATTTTATACTGTTTTGTTGTTCTATGAAAATTTTGATGTATCTATGAACTTGTATATTGTTTTGTTGTTCTCAATAAAAAATTTCAAAACAAAGCATTGAAATTTATGTCGTTCAATCTGCTATGTTACCTATCAATTTTTCTAATAAATACTACGTTCAAATTGACGCCATTTAACTTGTTTAATGAAAAAGAGCTTTTTGTAAAACACAATCGTCCACATTAAACATTTGGAGTCAACGATGACGGTTGTTTAATTACAAATAAAAATTCATAAAAAATATTCTAAATATATACACTGCCGGAACAAAGTATTGGCACAGCAAATTTTTCATAATATATGCAACAATTTTCATTCTAATATTTTTCCGCTAATTTCGTATAAAAATATGGTTCATTCTATAACAAAAAACATAAAAATATAATTCCTAAACTTTCTGCAAAACTCGCGAAAATTCAACAAATTTACATGAAAATTTTCAACTTTTTAATCAGATTTTTTTTGAGTATGCAGATCTGCCCAATTAGATCTATTATAATAAGGTGCAAGTTTTAAGTAGCTAGGAATTACCGTTTTTGGCAATTTTTTCCCGCATTCTCTTCCATACAAAAAATTTTTTCGAAAATATGTACTTTAAATGGGAAAAATGCAAAACACCTCCAACAAAAAAAAATCTCAGAAATCAACGCGATTTTTGACTAACTGCGAACTTGCATTTTTTCTAAAATTTATTGGGCTACAAAACTGCATACTCGAAAAATTTTCGCGAGTTTTGCACAAAGTTTAGGAATTATATTTTTATGTTTTTTGTTGTTGAATGAGCCATATTTTTGTACAAAATTGGCGGAAAAATATTAGAATAAAAATTGTTGCTTATATTGTGAAAAATTTGCTGTGCCAATACTTTGTTCAGGCAGTGTAATTAATTTAAAAAAAATCCTGACGTTAAAGAGAAAAACTAAAAACGCAGTTCTACCATGGTAGAATAATACCAGGTGAAGTAATTAGAGCGAGAAGAAAGAGTTTACTCTACCTTATTGGAAGTGTTCGCTCCTTAGATTTTTTTAAAGGCTTAAGGCCAGAAATATTAAAAAGAATTACCCTTTTTGACTACAAAAGGGGTAATAATTTGAAGTATTTTATTTAATACATATACATACATAATATTAAAAACTACTTTTGAAATATCCTATTTGAAAAATAAAAGAGCCATTTAAATTAACTAAGCATCATATATTATTTTTTATTCAAATTAGATTTGTAGAAGCTAAACAATTTTGTGATTACGCTTGTATTTAATATTGAAAGACAAACACTAACAATAAGCAAGAGCTTTAAGGATTTACAGCCAATGTAATAAATAATAATTCTTCTTCTTCTTATTTGGCGCTGTAACTGCCTAATCTATTTTGGCCGAGTTCAACAAAGCACGCCAGTCGTAGGGATAAATCGATACCAGCAAGGTATTACTCAAATCAGTACTTGTACTTGTATCAAACAAGGTATAGGTACCTACTCAGTATCGGAAAGGTATCGAGTACTTGTACATAGAACTACGATTTGCAGATTTTTTAAAGTTATTGAATTTTTTTTCACAAAAAATATGCGTTTTTACAAGACTATTTATCTTCTAAAATTTTTTCATACAAAAACCATAGCATACATTTTACAAGATTAATAGATAAAGTTTTTTCATATAAAATAAGTTTAAGAAAATAACCCCGTTTTTGTTATATTTCCCCAAAAAAATCAACTTTTCCAAGTGTTTTCCTGAAATGCATGTTTTGAAATTCGAAACTTTGAACTCGACTCGATTTGCCAAATATTTTTTAATTATATCTGATGAAAAGAGTGAATATTCTAATTGAAAACCGTAAAAGAAGCAGCAGCGATATGAAAAAATTATTTTAATGCGAGACTTGTAAATTTTTGGGTTAAAAACCATCGAGAAAATTATCGAAATCGATTCGATTTCAAATTTTCGAATTTTAGAATATGCCTTATAGTTGTACCTTTTTTTTAGAAAAGCCTCTAGCAAGGGACAGATGACTCAACAACCGTTATGTATAGACAGGCTTGCTTATATAGTGCGGAAATGTAGTGCGCAAATCGCAGTAAAAAGTATCGAGTAAAAAAGTACTTGGTAAACTGAGAAAAGTATCGAGTATGTACTTGGATTTACTTGTATCGATTTATCCCTAGCCAGTCGTTTCTTTCTGTGCCAACTGGCGCCAATTGGAAATGCCAAGTCCTTCTCCTCCTGGTCTTTCCATCTCAGTGGAGGCCTTCCTATTCCTCTGCGGTGTCCATTCGAACGACATGACCAAGCCAGCGGAGCCGCTGTATTTTAATTCGCTGCACTATGTCCATGTCGTTGTAAAGCTCATACAGCTCATCGTTCCATCGTCTGCGGTACTCGCCGTCACCAACGCGTAAAGACCCGTAAATCTTCCGCAAAATCTTTCTCTCGAATACTCCAAGAGCTGCCTCATCGGATGATGTTATTGTCCATGCTTCTGCGCCATATACCAGCACGGGCATGATGAGTGACTTATAGAGTGTGGTTTTCGTACATCGAACCACTGAACTGCCTACTGAGTCCAAAGTAGCACTTGTTGACAAGAGTGATTCTGCGTTGGATTTCCATGCTGACATTATTATCGGTGTTAATGCTGGTTCCCAATTAAACGAAATTCTTTACTTTCTCGAAATTACAACTGTCCACAGTAACGGGGGTGCCAAGGCGCGAATGTGCCGACTGTTTGTTTGATGACAGGAGATACTTCGTCTTGGCCTCGTTTACCACCAGACCCATTCGCATTGCTTCCTTATCCAACTTGGAAAAGGCAGAACAGACTTCTAGTGACTTTTGGTGGTGAACTTGGCTTTTGAGACTATTTGGTATTCAGTACGCTGTCTCACGTCTCTAATCTCAAAATTAAGTCA